CACACAAAATACAGGAAAAACAAGACAGTCTTTTCTTATGTAGTTAGAGTACTGTTGTGTAAAACCAACAAATGAATACAAACAAAAACTGGGAATTCCACAACAAAATATTCCGCTTAATGCCAGCTGGAGGTGTATGAAATTAGCTTGGGATCTGGCTAAATTAAATTGAAGTGAGCCCCGTCCACTCGAAGGCACTTGAACCGATTTAAACCCACTCCAGCTTCGGCTAGCATCCATTAGAGTTCCTCGGTTCTCGGTTAGAGTGTCTCCGGCTTCATTGCGACCACTCTGGAGCACTGCACTCCAGTTGAGTGTCGTTATTGTTACCATTTCACGACGATGGCTATGGCTTGTCTGCGGTCTCCGTCGACATCAAATGCTGCTAATGTTCATTAATAACTCATGCGTTAAACAAAAGCGGCTTGTTTCCCCGATTCTCGTCGTCTGGTTTGCTTGGCTAGATTGGAGCTCTCATTGTGCCGCTCTCGTGGAGTTGTCAGTCTGGTTATGTTGTCACTAAAGTGAATTTACTTTGCGTTAAGGGGGGGGTAAGGTTTTAAAAATTTTTTTTTTTACATTTTTTTTTTTTTTTTTTTTCTGAATGACCAATGTGTCGAGAACATTGTGTAAAAATTTTGAGTCAATTAAAGTCAAACTAACAGAGTTACAGCGTTTTAAACAACCGTATTTGGACGTATTTTCACGTGTAAAAATACTTTGAATCGATTTTGCCGAAGACGCTATTTTGAAAGTCGGTGAACATCAGAACTCAAAATCTACTGAACCGATCCTTTTCAAATTTTTAACACAAATTCTCAACATAAATACGCAGGTAATCAGGAAGAGTTTTTTTTAATTTTTAATTTATTTCTATTTTTAAAAAATAAATTAACAGCGGTTTTTAAAGCTAAAATCGCACTTTTCACTTTCAAGTGCTCCCAAAAATAGACAAAAAATAAATTTAAAAAAAACTCTTCCTGATTACCTCGAGAAATTCATTATCTTTACAACGCATATCTCATTTTATTTTTAAGATGATCCGTTACCGCCCTATGATGTTCACCGCAAAACAACTTTTTCTTAAGGCGCTTCGGAAGATTAACCGCCACAGGCTTATTTCTTAATATTTTTTAATAATTTTTTTTTTCTAATACTCTTCAAAAGTTAAACAATAACATGTAATTAAGCTCAATAAAATAAACTTACTCATTTCGCCGCAAAAAAAAATCAAACATGGCCCTTTTTTTGGCCTTTAAAACCTTACCCCCCCCTTAAATGGAATCGGAGGGGAGGTAAATTTTAATGAGTTCAAAAATACCTTTCATCTGCAAAGTCTTTCCTGCGCGTTCCGCAAAATTTCATTTCATTGTTTGATGTTTTTAGGCGTGGGTAGATCAATTAGATCTCAGCATAATTTGAAACAAAGGGTCACCTAGTTTGCCAGAACAAAAGAATTGATTAATGGGAATTTTCGCAAGCTAAAACCGTGTATATCCATTTGCAAGAACTCGCATAATGGACTCATTGTGCCGTTCTCCGAAAGGAAGTGAACAATTTAATTATTCCACATTCGCAGAAGATTCTTTTGAGGTTAAGAGGGCAGCCACGAAGTGCAATCAGTGGCAGTCGCTCTCCTTGGCCATTAAATCAAATTGGCTACGAACAAGTGAAAGTCTTGGAAAAATAAATATGTAAAGTTTCCATGAGCGGGTAAACATCAAAAGCACTCCGAAAGGCGATGAAGTAGGATCTCATTGGTTGATAGTATGCATTTTCTTGGGTTTTAAGTCACTATATATGATATTTCTTGTTTCGATTATACCCCAGTGATGCTGGACTGGAGTGCTGGGTATGCAAATCTCAATTAAATGGCAAATGCAAGGGGAGTCCAAGAGGAATCCGTTGTCGGGGGGAATGCATCCCTCAAACGCCTGGATTTCAGTTTGCCGACGAGCAATCATAATGCCAGCCCTCAGTCAGCTCTCCTCCCACTGCAATCGCCATTCGCAAACAAAGCAGACAGCAAACAGAACTCCAACTGCAATTAAGTTTAATGGGAGCTCATTAAGAGTCCGAATTGTTTCTGCTCCGACTGGAATCGAGGGAGATGGCAAACAGTTGCGTAATATATGCGACTGGACAGAGAGTTGCAAATGGATGGCTGCCACAGCAATAACGACGAATTATTGAGGAAACTGCAATTCGAAGTTGAGTTGTTTTTTTTGCCGAAGAGAGGAAGCCGCCTAATTGCCCCCGTCAATTCCTTTTTGCATTTGAACAGCATTTTGGACATGCCAAAGGGCAAAGATCAATTGTTTGCTGGCCAAGTGCCATCAAAAAAACAGGCAAAGCGATGGGGAACTAGGAGCTCAGTTGTCAGAATTTTTATGGATTTTGTCATGGCTTTTAATGCTGACTTGGTCCTTGTTGCTGGGACAATTAAAATGCAGCCGGTGGCATCTCGTCGCACCGGAAAAAAAGGGGAATTAATTGTCAGCTTGTAAAAGTGAACATTTACAAGTGTCGCAGGGTGAAGGGGACTTGGTTGCTGTGGGATTTCAGCAATAAACACCTGACTCTCGAGTGGATGCAAATTGTGCAACTAAGATGGGATTTCAGTGAAAAATTCAAATACAAGAAATGTATCCTAACTAAACAAATTTATTTGCTGATAAAATGTCAATAAATAGAACAGGAAGCCTCGCTTGCACAGTCAGACAAAATATCTGATAACATTGCCTCTTATATTTCAGTATAACGATTTAAACGCTAAAAATATATATAAAAATACTAGATACACACGTAACATACACGTCCTAACAGAATAGAACTTCCCATTAAAGGATAGGATATGCTGGCCCTTATGACCATGATGGCTGGCGGGGTTGGGGACCCCGTGGAATATCATCGTTCCGTCCGAAGGTCCAGAGTTGTGGCAGCATCGGCGAAAGGGTAAGCGCAATTACACAACCCGAAGCGTTGACAAATGAGATGCACAGTGGAGGGTGCGGCTCGGAAAATCGCACGACAGGTGAAAATCTAGGGTGGGGTTATGTGTTTGCCATTCCCCCAGAGGGAAGGGAAATATTCTGGAACTGTCTGCACTTTAGGTTTCCTATTTTTAGAGGGGTGTATCTGCATTTCTGGAATTGTTACTTGTACAAGTTTACTTCAAAGTGCAAACCAGTGAACCTATTGTGTGCTCAGAAGGGCATTCAAATAATTTATTAGAATTTAATTAGAAAAGGTTTTCTCATTTTGTAAACAAACTGTCGTTTTATATATTTACATAAGTGTATACGAGCTTCCGCAAGTGCTTAAATCGCTGGCCCGCCGTCTCCCTTCTCACTTTCATTAATGTCTCGACATTTGCATTTCATTAATAATGCATTTTAATTACGAACCATCGCAAATGCAACAGCTCCTCGTTTCTGCACTTTATCTGCGGTTGCAATGGGGATGATATAATAAATATTTATAACTACGTCACGGGATTAAGGCGAAGGCACATCCCCATCGGTTCGGTGAGCTATTTAAAAGATACAATTTGTTTATGAGGCGGGCAAACTCTCTCGCTTTCTGTTCAATCGATTCTCTCACTCGATTTCCGCCAATGTTGAACGCCTCAGTGAGTTTTGCAGCGTGTCGATGGCTTCGTTTTACGTTTTGCATAATTAAATCTCTTTGCCGGTTAGTCGCTGACTTTCCGCCCCCTTTCTTTTGGCATTAATAATGGTTGAAAACTGCATTTATTACTCGCACTTGTTACCTGCACTGATAAACTCGTTTCTTACCTAAGCCTTCGCCAGCGGAAATGTTCGCTTTTCTTTGGGGCTTGGCTCTGGGTCTTCTGCCACGGCCAAGGCGGCGCCTTAAATGGCCAACACGGGTGACACAGAAAAACCTTGGCAGTGAAAATAACGTATTGCCAAACGGTGGCTGGGCTGGCCGGTAAACAATGTTCGCTGCAAAAACTCCGAGTGACTTGGCATAGATTTCGCAGAGAAATTGATTTGTGTTCGCTTTTATTTTGCCTGTCGAGTGGCGGGCAAAAAATTGAATATTTTGAAGCAATGTTTATTTAGGAGGTGGGAAAGTTTACTTGCACTCGACTCTTTAGCGTTTTTTCTAATTGTGTGCTTAAGTTATATTTGTTTTTGAGTTAAAAAGGTTTTTGTATTTACTACTTACTTACCATTGAAACGTAAACATATTTCAAAATCCTAAGAAACTTAACCAGTCAATAACTATTACTAATTGTAATTGATTTAAATTGCGACATGAATTTGAATTCAATTAAATGCTTTTTCAAGTTGTACAGCATTTGGCGGAAAGAGAGGCAATAAATAATTGTGAAAAATTTAATTAAGCTGCAAGCGACAAAAACAACTTTTTTGTGCAACTGCTGAATGAGCAAAAAAATTATAGTTATGTTGCTGCCCAACGGAAACGCAGTTGGCATTGCTAATTCCTTTTGGCCACTCTCGTTTTTTTCGTGGCGTGGCTTCCTGCTGAAATTTTCCATTTTCTTTTTGTTTTCTGCGTAAAGTTTTCAATTAGCGAGCTGTCGGCGGAAGTCGTTCGTAAAAAATGCAAGCGCAATAAATAGTTTACAGCGGCGACGAAAAGGAAATTTCACCCACTTAACGGAAAGAGGTAGTGCATAAATTTGACGCGTCTTCCAATTGATTTTCCAATTTTCACCTGCTTTGTTGGCTTCAGTTTTGTGATTGCTCAGCGGCGCTTGAAGAATTTTCGCAATAATTTCACAGCTTAGTGAATTTTTAAGTGCCATCGAGAGCCTCGAAAAGTTTTAAGATGGTTGGAAAAGCGTCGGAAAATAATGGCGAAAATAAGAAGACATCGATGACTGGCCAAAAAGTTTGCATTTCCTGTGGCCATAATTTCCCTGAATTAATTTTATGTTTTTCCAATACGCAACTCTGCTATAATTTTGAGAAATTAATTGTTAAGTTATGTATTGTTTTCCTTTACAGTGATCGCTCGTACAGCAAGGACAGCCACAAGAGTTCGCACAGCGATTTGAGTTTGATTTGCAATGGTTCTTCCCGAAGTTCTAACACTGTTTCTGGCAGCGGATCTCCAAAGATATTGGCAAGCACTCAACTAAGTAAGTATATTAAAACTATTTTTCCTATATCTTTTCGAATTCTACATCAGTTAAACACGAAGAAGTATTGAAAAGTAAACGTGCAACCCTAAAAGCATGCTTTATATTTCGGAACTTTCGATAGCAGATGCTAGACTTTTTTTATCCCAAGCAGTGCAGCCAAGCAGTTAAAGTTGCGGCAACATGTTTGAATGGCAACCTAAGAGATAAACGAAACCCGCTCTCACCGCAAAGTAAACTGCGATTTCTCGAGGCAAACTTCCAAGCTGCTAAGTAGAATGGTCAGAGTTTTAAGCCGCGAACCGGCTTTTCATCGACCACCAGCCAGCTGCTCGCTAAGAGTCTTGTTTCGCCGCAGAGAGCGGGTTCCTCGAGCGTGTGAAGTTGTAGATACAAATGTATCTGGCATCGATAAAACGGCATTTGGCTTTTGCCTGCAGTCGCTTTTTGCCGCGTCTCTTCAGTTGGCGGCGGGTTTTCAATGCTAACGTGCCGCTCGCTTTGCGTTCTTCGAGTTCTTCGTGTTCTTCGGTTCTTCGTGATCTCGATTAGATCGCGTTTCGTGATCGAGGGGAAAATAATTACCGAATTTGGTCATGAAACCTGGCCCAAAGTGTCTGTGTGATAGTGCGATCCGAAATCAATCGCCAAGTGTAGCAAATAACGTTTAAAAACTGAAAATTAAAGGCGGGTCAACTGGCAACGTAAATTATTATGATTTTTTTTTGCCTTGGTTGACTCCACCAAAAAGCCTTTTGCACCCCTATTCCGTAAACTTTTATTAGCCCATTGGCGAAACAGGTTTTCCTTCCCTTTCAATAGAATGCCGGTTTGCCGGCTTTTTCATTTGTTTTGTGATTTGTGTTTAAAATGTTTTCAACTGAAACAAAGCATCGTCTGGCATTTCCAGACTCACTCTTGACCACCGAAACTCGAAACCCATCCAACCACCTTTGACTGCATTCACTCGGTCTTCTTTTTTGTCGATATACCTTTTGCTCTTGACGTCATTTCTGTGTGTTTTGAATTGGTATTTATTTCGCGGCGCCCTCGCCTTTTTGGTGTTGACACTCAATACCCAAAGTTGGTTCCTACAAACGAAAATAAATACCCAGAGTTTCCAACGTACGAATCGCATTAACTTAGAAGCCCAATCAATCAATCAACGGGTGCTCCAAGCCTCCCCCCTCCTCCTCTTTTTTACTTTCCCAGTCCGCCAAAGAATTCTTCTCGGCTTCTGCTGGCCATAAATTATGTTGGTCGTAATCAGTTTTGTTACAGTTTGTGCCCGCCCGGGCTTTCTCACGAACTTTGGCGAAGCCGCGAAATCGTAGCTGGCCCTCTCTTTCTCACTCTCCCTAGACCCGGTTACCGTTAGCTTTTGTCTAGGAGAAGAATCCGCCTGGTGAAAAAAAGGGGCGGGGGAAGAGTTCATTTACCTATGGAAACGTGCCGCTCGTCGAAACTCCGGGATCAGACTTCAGCGGCATTCAATTGAAAGCTTTGGGGATTCTACCTAACTTACTTCTGAACCTTTTGACCAGCTGCCAAAGTTTCGTCCAGTGTAATCCCATAATGAATACTCAAGTCGGGGGTGACTGGATGAACATAATGATGCCAGAGGCTTAAGCTTCTTTTCGAACTCATTTGGGTGTGCGGAGCATTCAAATGAGATCATCACCTGGTGACATCAGCAGGATGGTGCAGACAATGATAAGTGAAGCTGGCTTTGATGAGTACATCACATGGTGATGATTGTTTTTGGGAATTTACTGAGAAGTACCTTAAGCTTTGAAGAAGAAATTAGCACTTTTGAAAAAAATGATGGGCTAAGGGCACTCCTCAATTCAAAGAAGTTTACAAGCTTCTTAAAAGCCAACTCATAAGTTAAGAAATTCAAAAAAAAAATAGTTTTTTGATTGTACATATTCAATATTTTCTTTATGATTATACAGATATTACTACTGTAAAATGGAAAACAACTATTAAATCCCTTATCCGCTTATGTTCAGTGGGCGTTACGATCTGTTCTGCGGAATGCGCCTTAGTGTCTTGTATCCGTAATGCCTGCTCAACGGATATAAGCCGTATATGGTTGGGCGTGCTTAAGACTTTATTTATGTGTTTCGAACTTCATGGCTCCATAGGGTTTTCCAGGTTCTCTCACCTTCAAGACGACACCTGTTTCCGGCCCTGTCTACTGGTTTTGATCAGGTCTCTTTCAGTTTGCTCTGCCGTTGGCTCTGATTTTTTCCCCGACTGGCTGCTGGGGCTATAATTTTCATCAAACAGTCGACAGTTCTCTTTGGTCTGTTGTTAGAAAACAACCAGCATTTGATAGTGTGTGTCTGTATCTCTGTGCATTTCTCCCCTTTTGTATTCGTATCTGTGTGTTTTTGTGTGGCTTGGACGACTCTTTCTTAATTTTCACTTGACGTGCTGGCATGCTTTTGTGCTTTTTACATTATTATTATCATATTTGCATTTTTTTCAGCATCTCTCGGCTGCTCTGCTTGTCTGCTGTCGCTTCTCTCTGCCGTGCATTAAATTATTATTTACTGTACAGTGCTGACTCGAGGGGAGAAGATACTCCTGGGGCTCGGTCTGGGTTTCAGCTTTTGTCTGTGCATCTAAAAAAAATTGTATAGTTTTTATGACTTTTGGTGTTTTGTACAAAAATTATATAACACCGCATAGAACAAAAAAAAAAACGTGAAGGGGAAAATATTTCGAAATATTAATATTAAAAATATTTTTTTTAACGGTGCTTGCCGTTTTTGAATTTTTTCTCTGTGTATCTGGTTTTTCAAAGTCGCCGGCAAACTTTTTTGCTTTCATTTCGGTGCACCTCTCCCTTTCCCCCTTTCACCCATCCCCTCTCTCTGTCTCCCTTTTGCAATGGCGCTTAATAATTATGTGGGAAATTGCAAAATAATGCTAGACAGAAATATTTCTTTCATTTTCTGTGTTTTTTGTGTTTCGTTTCGTTTCGCCCGTTTCTTTTTTGCATTTTCTATTTGCTGTTTTTGTATAATTCACTTAACTATGCGAGAAAGTGTTGTGGGCGTTATGTTGTAAAATTATGCTGCAAAATATCAGCAACAGCAAAACTGTAACTGAAGAAAAAAAATGAAATGCATTGCGGCAGCTTTTCAATTTGCCAACATTGCTTAAAGTGAAGGTTGCGCAAAGAAAAATAAACAGAATTTCAATCAAGGAATTTACCGCGAAGTGGAGCAAAAAAGTTTTTCTAAGGAAAGAGAAAGATGAAAAAGTGTGGAGGAAACCAAAGAGAACAAGTCTGGTTTTATTCAATTTCAATTTAAATTAATTCATAAGCTTTAGCAGAGAAATCTTAAATTTAGGTGCTCGAAAATTGAAGAATGAAAGCTTAATGTATGCAAATTTAGATCACAGATTAAACTTGACTGCAACGAATCCGAAAAACTTTCCTATTTCTTGTTGTCCTATACCCTTTGGCCATCGATTACCATAATTGCTGGGAACACCCCAAAAATTGATACCCTTTCCAATTCCACTGCGATCTCACCTCAGGAACAAATCCACAAAACGAAAACGTATCTCTAGATGGCTGTCAACTTTCACTTGATATCGATGCAATCGCAAGGTGCATTGTTGTCTGAGGCCCGCCGCTTTGATTTCTTGCCTTGGTTAGGATTTTTGCATAATTTCCCGTGGCTCTGTTTGCTGAATGGGAAACGAATGCGAAACACTTTTCATTTTTCCATAATGAAGCGCTTATATGCCGCGAACATGTGCCTGCCAATCACGGCGACCGAAAATGGTCCGCAGACCGGGCCAAAAAATCAGCTGCTTGTGCCGGCCAAACAAATTTGCTCTGGTCACCGAACCAATTCCATTCAGAGCCAAACGAATTGAACGGAGAACTGGGCTGCCGATGTGGTGTTGATAATGTTAACGAAGACCGAAGCGGTTGGGGTTTTGCCGCAGTTGCATGCGCCACATATCGCATTTCCATTCTAGCGTGATCGAAACATTTTCGACTTGTTTGCTGCTGTCACTCTTAACGAGCTGTTTAAGTAGAACAAAAAATACGATTAGAGCTATAAATTAAACAGATATCATAAACACAAATGTCAATACCGAACTGATTTTCAGATTGATTAGGTAGGCTGGCCGCCCCCAGAGTTCAATGACATCTTTACTTGTGGTTCGTTGTCTGATTTACTCTATTTTATAGGGTATTTTCCTGCTCATTTTCTACTTAGACTCACCTGCACTTCGTGCCTGATTGATGGCAGCGTTTAAAGCCCAGCGTTGTCTTCTCGCTGAGTTGTTAACGAGTTGAAGTCGGGGAAATGGGAAATGGAAAATGGGAGATGGTAGATGGGACCCCCAAAGAGCGATGCTTTTAAGCGCTGCTCAAGCAACATCCACTCGATCACGCATTCGTGGCTCATTTGCATATCAAAAAATAATCAAATGCAGTCGGGTTTTGCCTCTCCGATTGACTCACTTCGTGGTCAAATGGATCCGCTCTCTGCGAAGTCGTAAATGTGTTTAGTGCCCGGTTTTCAGCCTAATTCAATAAATTAATTGTGTCGTTAGAGTCGCTCACTTTTACCACGCACTTCCTGTGGGCCGTGCACGTAACTCGAGTCGCTGTAGAAATGATGGGATAAGTGATGAACGCCGACAATTGACATTCGGATGGTTATTTAATGACCCAGCCTAGTGGCCCCCGTTGGGTGCCAAAGTTTCTTTTTGGGGGTCGCACGTGCGGTCGCTTAAAATAATGCCAGACAGGCGGAAGCTTTTCATAGGCAGTCGTCAATAATCACAGTCGTTAGAGGTCCGAAAAAACACCCGAACACTCAGCCAACTATTGTTTGTCTAATGGAAATCTGGGGACTGTTTTAACAGGTGCCAAGCAAACTGATGGCCGCGATTTGTTTTGGGCCCCCGAATGACTAGACAACTTTTTGTACTTTCAGAAAGTACAAATAAAATAGGTTTGA